TGAGGACTGAGTCTGAGTGATGAGTGAGTCTTGATGAGTGAGTCTGAGTGATGAGTGAGTGGGGAATCAAAAACCCCATTTTTGGATATGGGGAATCAAGAACCCCATCTTAGGATATGGGGAATAACTTACGTGTGTGTCTGAGTGATGGGTGTGGTGTTCTGTCCTGTTCTGTGTCCTTCCGGCGCGGTCCGCCAATTACTCGACACGGGGCTCCCCATATGTGCATCTCATTATCTTGGCACATCTTTCCATGGATTTCCATGCATATCAATCCCTTGGTAAGTCTTTCTATGGGTATATGTCAAGGAACGCCTCACGACACGCGAAACGTAGATTGCAACGCTCTCTGAGCGTGATCGGATTGTTTTACACATCCTTGCTGACGCGTCCTCCGTTTGAGTGTGAGTGGGCATGAGTGTGGGCAACATGCTCCCTACTTACAGCACTGCCTGCTCGCTCGAGACATCCTCACAGCCGGCAGGGAGAGAGAGAGAGAGAGAGGGAGGGAGGGAGAGGGAGGAGGAGGAGGAGGAGGAGGGGGGGAAAGAGAAAATAGAACGCGGATTTTTCCGTGGCAACGAAATGCAAATGACTCCTTGTTCCATTTCTGGAACTCCCACAAATCGCGCCCCAGTGGGGTGCGAGAAGACGCGGGGATCGAGCTCGGCACGATATTTGTCTTAAAATGTGTTCGCAGGGGGACGGGTTTGATATTTCCGCCACCGTACCCTTGGCACGTAAGAACGTGGTAGAACCCGCGAGTACCGGCCTCATCATCATTACCTTGTTGTTCATCCCTCGCGAGTGCGGCCTCCCGTCCTCATTGGAACGAGAGCCGCCGAGCATGCTGGACTCGCACGGTGGCGGGACTTGCCGCAGGCAGGTGGATAATCAAGCCCGTATCGCCGCGCTTCGCTGGCTCCACCAGCCTGTGAGCGTATGAGGGCTAGGACAGCTTCTCTTCCAACTCTCTGTTTCCTCTTCAGGGAGGGTTTACCACTCTCTTTATCCAGTCCCCCCAGGACCGAGGGCGGGGCCTGAAGAAGCGGTGAAGAGGTCTCCAATATGCTCCCAAGAACTCCCCAAGAGCGTCAAGGAGATCTCCGAGGTCTGCTAAGAGGATCTCCAGACACCCGAAGAAACCTCCAACGCACCTTCCAAGAAATACCCCCTACTAGTTTTAACGAATGATAGCGGCAGGTCCTCTGTAGCTGTTAGATATCTCTGATCAACTCTATCAGAGAGCAAGAGACCTCTGAGAGAGCGGGGCAAACATCATCATCCTCATCCTCATCATCATCATCGTCGTCGTCGTCGTCATTCTAATCGTCCTCGTACGCATCCTCATCCTCTTCATCATCGTCGTCATCATCATGATCATCATCATCATCAGCATCATCACCATCATCACCAGCCTCCTCCTCATCATCCCCCTCATCGTCATCATCGTCATCATCATCATCATCTGCGTCATCATCACCATCATCATCACCATCATCATCATCATCGTCATCGTCATCGTCATCGTCGTCATCATCCCCTTCCTGCTCCTCCTCTTCCCCTCCTCCTCCTCCTCCTTCCTCCCTCCCCCTCCTCCTCATCATCCTCATCATCATCATCATCATCCTCATCATCATCATCATCACCATCATCAGTGCCGGAGCCCGAAACGGGCCTCCAGACCTCGAAGTTCGAAGTTCCTCTTGCTCCTCCTCCTGCCCCTCCCCGTCCTCCTGATCCTCCTCTTCCTCCTCCTCCTCCTCCTCTTCCTCCTCCTCCTCCTCCTGCGCCTCCTCCTCCTCCTCCTCGATTATCAAAAAAGCGGCGCGGCCATCGTCGTTGCGATCATCATCATCATCATCATCATCACCACCACCACCATCATCATCATCATCATCATCGCCATCATCATCATCACCAGCATCACCATCATCATCATCATCATCCCATTCTACTGCTCCTACTCGTGCTCATGCTCGCCTCCTTCTCCTCATCATCGTCCTCCTCCTCCTCCGCCTACTCCTACTCCTACTCCTCCCCTGCCTCGTCCTCCTCCTCCTCCTCCCCAGTCTCCTCCTCCTCTTCCTCCTCCCCCTCATCATCATCATCATCATCATCATCATCATCATCATCATCATCATCCTCCTCTTCCTCCTCCTCCTCCTCCTCCTCCTCCTCTTCTCCTCCCTCCTCCTCCTCTTCCTCCAAATCTGCTCCGAAAGCGAAACATGTTGGAAGAGAAAATGACCAAACCGCCTGAGACATCCCCACAAAATTCCGCGAACGGGACCCCGTGAAATACCCCCCCGCCGCCCCCCTTAGAGTGCTGAGACGAGCGAATCGCCTGAGACATCCTCCAAATCTGCTCCGAAAACGAAACATGTTGGATCAGAAAATGGCCAAACCGCCTGAGACATCCCCACAAAATTCCGCGAACGGGACCCCGTGAAATACCCCCCCGCCGCCCCCCTTAGATTGCTGAGACGAGCGAATCGCCTGAGTCTGAGTGATGACTGAGTCTGAGTGATGAGAGAGCATGAGTGAGTCTGAGTGATGAGTGAATCTGAGTGGTGAGTCTGAGTGATGAGTGGTGTGTCTGAGTGAGGACTGAGTCTGAGTGATGAGTGAGTCTTGATGAGTGAGTCTGAGTGATGAGTGAGTGGGGAATCAAAAACCCCATCTTTGGATATGGGGAATCAAGAACCCCATCTTAGGATATGGGGAATAACTTACGTGTGTGTCTGAGTGATGGGTGTGGTGTTCTGTCCTGTTCTGTGTCCTTCCGGCGCGGTCCGCCAATAACAAGAACCCCATCTTTGGATATGGGGAATAACAAGAACCCCATCTTTGGATATGGGGAATAACAAGAACCCCATCTTTGGATATGGGGAGAAAAAAAAAAGGTGCGTGTGCGTTCTCGCGAATTCTGCAATTAGGCTTTTTCTTTACATTTTCAGAACATGCTCCAAACGGGCTTCGCGCGCGCATGTCGAAATCGGTCGCTCGCCCTTGCGCGAGTGCCGTCGCGAGAATCCTTTGCAACAAACGGGGCGAAATGCACGCGCGCGCGTCGTCGCGCGCGCATGCCGGAATCCGTTAATCACCTGCGGTTTCGTAGCGGTGTTTAAACCGAATGTCCACATCAACATACAAAAACACATGGTTTCGCAACATCAGTTTGACAAAAAACGCGTGCGCTCGCATTTTTTTAAAATAGAAACAACATAGAATTCCAATATTTTCGCTGAATTCTGCTAAAAGGGCCTCTGGCGCCGCATGCCGGCATCATTCGCACTCCCTTGCGTGCGTGCTGGGGGGGCACGATCCGTGTCAAATAAAACCAAGTGGGCCACTCTCGCGCGTCGGCCGCGTGCGCATGTCGAACACTGTCCAAAATCTTCATCACCGACGCGAGGACGCCGTCATCGTCGTCGGCGTGATCCGCATCGGCGCCCGCACTGGCAGCGCCTTCGTTGGTGCCAACATCGTCACCAGCGTCGCTACTATCATCATCGTGTCTACCGTTGTCGACGTTGCCATGCTACCGCGCCCGCCCAAGTCGCCGATTCGAAGTGAACTGCCCGATGGGGTGTGCCCAGCGGTCAGCGCCACCGCGGTCGCGTCGGCGGCGCCAAACTAGCTGGCCGTTGCGCGCGCGTGCTACGGTTGGCGCGGCCGCAGAGATGCACCAGCCAAGGCCAAGCATGCATCGCAGTCGCCACCGCATGGGTTTTGCCAACCAAGCTGCGGGTCGGTGGGTGGGTTGTTTGCAAGAGCATGGGATGTACCAACTCGTTTGTTAAAGTTTTTTGCGCCGCATAGGTGCCACCACATAGCTTACACCACATGGGTCACACACGTAGGTCGCACTGCCAATTTTGCACCATTATCATCACGCAAATCACTCGCTGCGTGGGTTGTCGTCGTCGTCCTCTTCCGTGTTGTCGTCGTTTCCGTCGTCGTTGTCGCTGTGGTCGTCCTTCCTCCTCTCTCGTCGTCGTCGTCGTCCGTCGTCGGCGTCTCGTCGTCGTCCCTCCTGTTTCGTCGCCGTCGTCGTTATCGTCGTCATGGTCTTCCCTCCTCCCTCGCCGTTGTCGTCGTCGGCGTCGCCGTCCTCCCTCCTTCGTCGTTCGCGTCGTCGCCGTTCTCCCTCCTCCCTCGTCGTTGTCGTCGTTGTCGCCGTCGTCGTCCTCCCTCCTCCCCGGTCGTCTTCGTTGTCGACGTCGTCGTCGTCGTCTTCGTCGTCGTCGTCATCGTCGTCGTCGTCATCATCGTCGTCGTCGGCGTCGTCGTCGGCGTCGTCGTCGGCGGCGTTGTCATCGTCGTCGTCGTCGTCGACGTGGGCGTCGTCGTCGTCGGTGTCGTCGTCTTCGTCGGCGTCGTCGTCGAAGTCGTTGGAGACGTCGTCGGCGTCGTCGCAGTCGTTGTCGGTGGCGTCGTCGTCGTCGTCGTCGTCGTTGTCGCAGTCGTTGTCGACACCGGTGTCGTTGCCAAGTGCCATTTGGTACCTACTGTCACGGTCTTAAGAGGTCTTGCGACCAAGTTGCGCGTTGGAGGGTGGGATGTTTGCACGAGCAGTGGAGATGACAGCTTCAAGTTGAGCAAGTGATTGTTTGCACCACATAGTTTGTACCACATCGCTTGCATCACTGGGTATTTGAGAGCAGAATGCTTAGTGTCCACGCTGGCTAACATGTAAAGGAGATACTACGGTGGGGGTAGTTCGTCAAGGAATTTTGCCAGGAGGCTTCAGTCTAGGCTTCCTAGATGGGGTCGGAGTAGATGGGGTCGGAGGATCGTGCCGCATCGCCGATGCATCGCCGATGCGGCTCGATGTGGAACCCGATTTGCTTCACGTCTACGTCGCCGATGCATCGCCCACGTCGACGATGCATCGCCGGTGCATCGCCGATGCATCGCCGATACATCGCCGATGCATCGCCGATGTATCGGCGATGCGGCGCGATCCTCCGACCCCATCTACTCGGGCCCCATCTGGGAACTCTCTATTCAGACCTTGGACGTTTCCTTATCTGATCGGGGCGGCGGTGCTATCCATGGCCAAGCCGCGGTTGGTGGGCACCCAGACCGTGGGTTCCTTATCCATTGGTTCCTTATTCAATGCCCTCACCTTATTGATCCGTGTCCTCTGTGGCGCAAGTCGTTGTAGCTCAATCCGCCTCCCGTCCAGACGCCAGTCGCCTTGCTGCAGAGCCTCGCGTCGCCGCAATGAAGAGCGCCCTGGTGCTGATCCTGGCCCTTCAGCTCGGCAGCGCCAGTCGCGTGCTGAGGAGCCAGGGCGTGCAGGCCACGGGCAACGCCACGGTGGACACTTGAAGGAACAAGCCCGGCACAAGCAACAATTTCTGGAGGTCTGCGCGGATTTTTTGGATCGGCGCTGGGGCCCCCTCGCGGCGCCTCCAGCGCCGCCGCTGGCGCGCTCTGCGCGCCAGGGAGGGGTGTCCTGAGCCGATCCAGGACGTCTGCGCGGAGCTCCGAAAGTTTAGGCTTATGCAGTTTTGGCTACTCCTGCAGGTGGACATGGAGGACGCAGATGCCATGGCCAGGGGCGTGGAGGCCGATGCGCGGGCGGACCTTGACGACGTGCTGGCGATCCGCCAGGCGTCGGGCCTCGAGAGTCACCGGGCGCGGGCCGCCTTCGAGCGGGCGGGCGAGGCCGAGGAGGACGGCCAGGCGATCGCCAGGGGCAGCAAGCTGTGGTCCGAGGCCGCGGACGCCCAGGGGGAGCGGGAGCTGAAGGACCCCAAGGACCGCGCCGCGCTGGTCCGGGCCGTGGCGCTGGAGGCAAAGGAGGAGGGCCAGGACGCCGCCCAGATGCAGCTGCTCGCCTCCAGGGAGAAGGCCGACGGCAACGCCACCGAGCTGCGGGCGCGGAGCATGGGCGCAGACGCCGACGCGCTGGAGCACGAGGCGATGGCCAAGCTGGAGCAGGCGGGCGCGGACGCGAGCACCCTCCGCGCCGCGGCCGCCAGCGAGGCCAGGGCGTGACGAGGGCCTGGGGTCTGTGCCTCCGCGGCCGCCGCGGCAGGGAGCCGCGCGTCCGCACGCCTCACCTCACAGAGACAAGGCAGGAGGGGGACACCGACACCACGCACAGCTAGCAGTGCCTGTCATGGTGAAAGCGTGGGGGGCACGTGGGGGATGGAGGGGACGAGGAAGGGCCGGGAAGCACGGAGACATTTGGGAAGCCCTGGAGCAGGGGTACACTTCTTTGTGTCCCCCTGGGGCCCTTTTTTTGGCGCGGCCGCAGAGATGCACCAGCCAAGGCCAAGCATGCATCGCAGTCGCCACCGCATGGGTTTTGCCAACCAAGCTGCGGGTCGGTGGGTGGGTTGTTTGCAAGAGCATGGGATGTACCAACTCGTTTGTTAAAGTTTTTTGCGCCGCATAGGTGCCACCACATAGCTTACACCACATGGGTCACACACGTAGGTCGCACTGCCAATTTTGCACCATTATCATCACGCAAATCACTCGCTGCGTGGGTTGTCGTCGTCGTCCTCTTCCGTGTTGTCGTCGTTTCCGTCGTCGTTGTCGCTGTGGTCGTCCTTCCTCCTCTCTCGTCGTCGTCGTCGTCCGTCGTCGGCGTCTCGTCGTCGTCCCTCCTGTTTCGTCGCCGTCGTCGTTATCGTCGTCATGGTCTTCCCTCCTCCCTCGCCGTTGTCGTCGTCGGCGTCGCCGTCCTCCCTCCTTCGTCGTTCGCGTCGTCGCCGTTCTCCCTCCTCCCTCGTCGTTGTCGTCGTTGTCGCCGTCGTCGTCCTCCCTCCTCCCCGGTCGTCTTCGTTGTCGACGTCGTCGTCGTCGTCTTCGTCGTCGTCGTCATCGTCGTCGTCGTCATCATCGTCGTCGTCGGCGTCGTCGTCGTCGGCGTTGTCATCGTCGTCGTCGTCGTCGACGTGGGCGTCGTCGTCGTCGTCGGTGTCGTCGTCGTCGTCGGCGTCGTCGTCGAAGTCGTTGGAGACGTCGTCGGCGTCGTCGCAGTCGTTGTCGGTGGCGTCGTCGTCGTCGTCGTCGTTGTCGCAGTCGTTGTCGACACCGGTGTCGTTGCCAAGTGCCATTTGGTACCTACTGTCACGGTCTTAAGAGGTCTTGCGACCAAGTTGCGCGTTGGAGGGTGGGATGTTTGCACGAGCAGTGGAGATGACAGCTTCAAGTTGAGCAAGTGATTGTTTGCACCACATAGTTTGTACCACATCGCTTGCATCACTGGGTATTTGAGAGCAGAATGCTTAGTGTCCACGCTGGCTAACATGTAAAGGAGATACTACGGTGGGGGTAGTTCGTCAAGGAATTTTGCCAGGAGGCTTCAGTCTAGGCTTCCTAGATGGGGTCGGAGTAGATGGGGTCGGAGGATCGTGCCGCATCGCCGATGCATCGCCGATGCGGCTCGATGTGGAACCCGATTTGCTTCACGTCTACGTCGCCGATGCATCGCCCACGTCGACGATGCATCGCCGGTGCATCGCCGATGCATCGCCGATACATCGCCGATGCATCGCCGATGTATCGGCGATGCGGCGCGATCCTCCGACCCCATCTACTCGGGCCCCATCTGGGAACTCTCTATTCAGACCTTGGACGTTTCCTTATCTGATCGGGGCGGCGGTGCTATCCATGGCCAAGCCGCGGTTGGTGGGCACCCAGACCGTGGGTTCCTTATCCATTGGTTCCTTATTCAATGCCCTCACCTTATTGATCCGTGTCCTCTGTGGCGCAAGTCGTTGTAGCTCAATCCGCCTCCCGTCCAGACGCCAGTCGCCTTGCTGCAGAGCCTCGCGTCGCCGCAATGAAGAGCGCCCTGGTGCTGATCCTGGCCCTTCAGCTCGGCAGCGCCAGTCGCGTGCTGAGGAGCCAGGGCGTGCAGGCCACGGGCAACGCCACGGTGGACACTTGAAGGAACAAGCCCGGCACAAGCAACAATTTCTGGAGGTCTGCGCGGATTTTTTGGATCGGCGCTGGGGCCCCCTCGCGGCGCCTCCAGCGCCGCCGCTGGCGCGCTCTGCGCGCCAGGGAGGGGTGTCCTGAGCCGATCCAGGACGTCTGCGCGGAGCTCCGAAAGTTTAGGCTTATGCAGTTTTGGCTACTCCTGCAGGTGGACATGGAGGACGCAGATGCCATGGCCAGGGGCGTGGAGGCCGATGCGCGGGCGGACCTTGACGACGTGCTGGCGATCCGCCAGGCGTCGGGCCTCGAGAGTCACCGGGCGCGGGCCGCCTTCGAGCGGGCGGGCGAGGCCGAGGAGGACGGCCAGGCGATCGCCAGGGGCAGCAAGCTGTGGTCCGAGGCCGCGGACGCCCAGGGGGAGCGGGAGCTGAAGGACCCCAAGGACCGCGCCGCGCTGGTCCGGGCCGTGGCGCTGGAGGCAAAGGAGGAGGGCCAGGACGCCGCCCAGATGCAGCTGCTCGCCTCCAGGGAGAAGGCCGACGGCAACGCCACCGAGCTGCGGGCGCGGAGCATGGGCGCGGACGCCGACGCGCTGGAGCACGAGGCGATGGCCAAGCTGGAGCAGGCGGGCGCGGACGCGAGCACCCTCCGCGCCGCGGCCGCCAGCGAGGCCAGGGCGTGACGAGGGCCTGGGGTCTGTGCCTCCGCGGCCGCCGCGGCAGGGAGCCGCGCGTCCGCACGCCTCACCTCACAGAGACAAGGCAGGAGGGGGACACCGACACCACGCACAGCTAGCAGTGCCTGTCATGGTGAAAGCGTGGGGGGCACGTGGGGGATGGAGGGGACGAGGAAGGGCCGGGAAGCACGGAGACATTTGGGAAGCCCTGGAGCAGGGGTACACTTCTTTGTGTCCCCCTGGGGCCCTTTTTGAACAGATGGAGATGGTATTGGCGTGGCACCCTGTCGGTGCAGGTTGAGGTGCCGACACCTTTGAACGCCTCCCCCCCTCTCGGGACTCAGTCGCCTCCTCTCGCGACTCCCGCCTCCCTCCAACCTGACTTCCTCACTTCTACATCCTAGAGACATTTTGTCTATCCCCTGGCGATGAATGTGCGTGGCCTTTGGGGGGTAGGGAGGTGGGTAAGGGTTCCAGTCACGTCACGATTCGCTTTTGCGCCGTATGGGAATGCCTCGGAAAAGGCTCATTCTCAGACGGCGCTGGCGCGAATCGTGACGTGACCAGGGAAGGGGGGGGGGGGGCGGGACGTCGTAAAACGCAACGGGCTCTTGATATTGGGGTGCCGACGCCTTCCGCCCCCTCTCGGGACCCCGCTGCCTCATCTCGGGACTCCCGCCTCCCTCCTGCCTGACTTCCTCAGCTCTGCATCTTACCCACCTCCTGAACCCCCCTTCTCTGCTCACTCCTCCCTCTTCCCTCTAGCCCCGTGCCTTTATCTCTCTCTTCCATCTCTCCGTCCCTCTTCTTCCTCCTCTTTTGGACGACTCGGTTCTCCGAGTCGCTGGCTCCTGGACTTCTCGACCCCTTCCCTCTGACCGCTTGTTCATCCCATGCCTTCTTCGGACTGCAGGAATGCGCGCATCTACCCCCCCCAGGGCCAATCCCTGCTCCCCCTGGGGCCGTGCCGCAGAGCTTCGGCCCCCGACTGTGTGAGGATGCCTCTCCCCCCTCGCTCAGCTCCTGCCGCTGCCGCTCCGGCGCAGAGCCCCCCGGCGCAGGGCCGGAGCCCCGAGAAGGTTCGAGGTGAGGGCCCGCGCGCCTTGAGCGAGGAGCCTCCCCCCCGGCCCCCATCGCCGCGGCCCGCGATGGCGGACGGCGGGGCTGCGGATCCCCCTCGGGGGTCCTCCGCCGAGAGGGTGTCGTCGTCGTCATCGTCGTCGTCGTCGTCATCGTTTTGGTCTCGAGGCTTCCTCCTCCTCCTCCTCCGTCGCCTCCTCCTCTCCTCCTCGCCCCACCCTTCTCAGCTTCTCCTCTTCCCCGTCCTGCTCCCTGCTGCTCCCTGTTGCTGCTCCTCCGTCTCCTGCTCCCTCTGCTCCTCCTTCTCCTCCTGCTCCTCTTCCTACTACTTTTTTGGGCACGCTCGACCTCCTCCTGCTACTCTCCCTGGCGGCAGTGGCGGGGCGTTTGTGGAGGATTTCGTCGCCACGGCTGGACGAAGCGTGAACAAATGGCTGGTATTGACCCCAGCTGGGCTCCAGGGATTGTTCATGAGCGCCTTTCAGGGTCTGGCGATGCTAATGCGGTTGCTGCTGCTACTGATAATGATGATGATTATGGTGCTGCTGGTGATGATAATGATGATGATGTTGATGATGATGATTATGATGATGATGATGGTGGTGATGCTGATGATGGTGATGATGAGGATGGTCAGGATGATGCTGCGTAATGGTGCTGCTGATAATGACGAGGATGCTGTTGATGATGCTGTTGATGATGATGTCGATGATGCTCCTGGTGATGATGATGCCGATGATGATGCTGATGACGATGATGATGATGATGATGGTGATAATGATGACGATGATGATGATGATGAGGTTGATGATGCCGATGCTGATGGTGATGGTGATGGTGATGGTGATTACGATCGTGATGATGATGATAATGATGAGGATGCCGAGGAAGAATCTGCTCACGACGAGGATGTTGATGCTGCTGATAATGGCGAGCGACGATGTCGACTCTAGTTATGATGACGCTGTTGATGATGACGATGATGACGATGACGATGCTACTGATGATGATGGTGGTGATGGTGATGTTGATAACCACGGCGATGATGATGCTGATGGTGATATCGATGATAATGTTGATGTCGATGATGATGATGATGATGGTGATGATGTTGATTGTTAAGGTGATTATGACGCTGCTGATGATGACGATGGTGGTGGTGTTGATGATGCTTAATCGTATTTTGCTGGTGATACTGCTGATGCTGCTGGAAACGGTGATGGTGGTGATGATGATGATGATGGTCGTGATTATGGTGATGGTTATGGTGATGCAGATGGTGCTGATAATTGTCATGACGTGATGATGATCCGGATGACGAAGATGGTGATGATAATGATGATAATGATGGTGATGTTGATGATGGTGGTGATGATGCGGCTGATGATGATGATGGTGGTGATATCGACGATTCTGATGATGACGATGGTGGTTGTGATGATGATGATGTTGATGGTGGTGATGATGTTGATTATGATGATGGTGGTGATGATGATGATGCTGATGGTGATGATGCTGATGATGCTGATGATGATGATGATGAGGAGGAGGAGGAGGAGGAGGATGGGGAGAAGGAGGAGGAGGAGCAGGAGGAGTCGGAGAAGAGGAAAAGGAAGAAGGCGAGGATCGATGCGCTTGACACGTTTCCTTTTTGGTTGGCCTCTGGGAAGTATTTTGGAGCGACAGCCGAATTCCGTTCCTTGGGTGTCCTCCGCCGATAGGATGAGGATGGTCGAGGATGTTGCCATGGAAAATCGCGCCACCAGCCATCGGCGTCCAGGGGCCCTTTTTTTGGCGCTGGTTCCGTCAAACAATTGCTCGGAATGAAAACTCGGTCCTGTGCGAGGGGTCGAGAGCTCCAAAGGCTGGCGACTCAAACAAATCAAGTCGTCGGAAGTCGGGGGAGGATGATGATGATGATGATGATGAGGAGGAGGAGGAGGAGGAGGAGGAGGAGGAGGAGGAGGAGGAGAGGAGGAGAATCAGAAGATCGGGGAAAAGGATGGAGGTGGGCGAGAACAAGGTTGTTTATGCGCCTTTTCTTTTTTTGTGGCCTCCGGAAGGCCATGGCTGGCTTCCTGTGAGAATGCTGGCCAGAACTCACCTCGGGAGAGGCCCCGGTGCCAATTTTTTGGTATGGAGCTCGGCATCACCCCAACATACTTATACTATATGTGCGTCGCCCCCCCAGGGGCGACGTGCGCACCGAGAAATCTTATAGTATATGCGTCGTGGCGGGCGCTTTCTGGCCACACCGCTCGGGAAACGATTTACTACAAGATGGGTATAATATATGTTCGGGTCGGACGCGCGCCTCCAAGGAGGACATATAGTACTAGTATGTCTCTGTGCGTCCCATGGAGGAGCAGGAGAAGGTAGCAGCAGAGAGCCCTGTCCGCCCAAGTCTGCCAGGAGAAAGCACAAGGGGGGCGCGAGATGACCATCGCATTCTTCGCGCTTCGCGGTCTGGGCTGGAGAGTTTCTTTTCTCGGCGCCGCGACGGGGACGTGAGCACGGGCAGGCTTAGCTGCCCTGAGACGCCCGTTTGAGACGCAACACGTACCGTGTTCAAAACGTCCGTGTTAACACGCTGCGTGTTGGCTCCACGTGTTGGCCCACGTCACGTTTTGGCGAATGTGCCGCGCCAGGCGTACGCTTTCAATATACGTGTTGAGCTCCATGTCAATACGCTACGGCTTGCGTGATGCGTATGGAGGCGGCTAGCTCAGAAGGCAGCGGGGTTCGGAGAAGGCTTACAAAGCTTCCCAGGATACCAGAGTTCATCTGAGCCTTCCCCCCCCCATGGCGCGCCACCGATGCTCGTTCTTCTCTGGAAGGGGCCTCGCGTCGCGAGAGGGCGAAGTCACGTGGCATAGAGAACGAGCACCGCAGAGCTTCGGAGTTGCTCTGAGGTTTCTGGAGACGTTGGAGGTTCGGGATCCATCGCCGCAGTTCAGCCTCGACGAGACCTTCAAAACGTCAGTGCGTACTATGTAATGCCCTGACCGTTCCTGGCCTCCACGTCCTGTCTCAGGAGCCAATCTAGGAGAGGCAGCGGTGTCCATGGTTGGATCGATTCGATCTGCGACCATGGACAGCCTGTGGACTGAAAGGGCACCTGCCCTTTGAGTTGAGCACAGACGGGGGTGCTCGACCATTTCCAGCGCCCACGCTTCATTGAGCTGTCGAGCGGGAAACTCGGTACCGGCACCGATGGAGCTGCCAGGTGACCCCGTGCTTCTTCCAGGGAGGCCCAGATAGCTTCCAGAGCGCGCTCGCGAGGTCCAGAGGGCCCTGCAGAGGCTCCAAACAGGCGAGAGAAGCTGGGGGCACCTCGGGCCTGGACCACCCCTTGCAACCTCCGCGGCAAGCAGGACCCTGGAGGTCCTTGCAGTCCCCAGGCCTCTGGACACTTCCAGACTGGCAACTCCATCCAAGAACTGATCGTCGATCCTCGAACCTCGACGTGGACCGCAAACCCATACCCCCGACGTCGATTTTTCCAAAACGTGGACCCGGCAGGTCTCGACCCCTCACCCCCGGCATCGGCATTTCACTCTAGATTGTCTCTTTTGACGGCCTCATGGCCCAGGAAGGGCTTCGCAGTGGCTTTGCGCCGCGAAATCGGTCGCCGACCTTCGAACCTTGGTCCTGTACATCGTCCACTGGGACCGTTGCAACGTTGGCGGGGGGCAGGCGCAAAGTGGGTTTGCATCGGCTCCCAATCGCCCACTGGGTCCGGTGCAACGTTGGCGGGGGGCAGGCGCAAAGTGGGTTTGCATCGGCTCCCAATCGCCCAGAGACCGCCAATAGGTGCCCGATTGCATCCGACTGCCCACCCCGCCCGGGAACTTTCGGATTCTTTCTCGGGGGCCCATCGCCGACGCCTGGGGCCCCTCAAGAGCCACTCTCCGCCAGGGCGGAGGCGCGAGGGCGCTCGGAGCTGGTCTGCGCGTCGCGCCTCGCGGGGTGCCGTGCGCGAAGCTACGGTTCGCGGTGCTTGGGCGGGGCGCGAGGATCTCCTGGCATTGGCCCAGCTCGGCCTGTCTGATTCAGAAGGTGTGGTCGTTGCGCAGGATGGTCGCAGAATGGCCACAGGGTCAACCTTTTGGCGTGCCAGGAGGAGGAGGAGGAGGAGGAGGAGGAGGAGGAGGAGGAGGAGGAGGAGGAGGAGGAGGAGAAGGAGGAGAGGAGGAGGAGGAGGGTGAGTGGGATGGGGGAGGGGGAGGAGGGGAATGTTGCCGCTGAGTGCAGACACTGGTGGGGAGTGACCTGTCTATTCCCCTCCCTCCTTCCTCTGCACGTGCATGTTGGGGGTTCGGCCTTTTAGGCGTACTATGTCTCCGCCCTTCTATCTTCTCCCTGCTAGTATGGGCCTCGAGCCTTTCTGCCCGTGGGTCAGCGAGTGAGCGAGCGAGCGAGCGAGCGGGGGAGGACGAGGAGGAGGAGGAGGAGGAGGAGGAGGAGGAGGAGGAGGAGGAGGAGAAGGAGGAGCCGAGGAGGAACCAACGAGGAGGAGCAGAAGGAGGAGGTGGAGGAGGAGAAGGAGGAGAAGCCGAAGCCGAGGAGGAAACAACGAGGAGGAGGAGGAGGAGGAGGAGAGGAGGAGGAGGAGGGAGGGCGAGGAGGAGGAGGAGGAGGGGGAGGGATGAAGAGAGCGCCTCCCCCCCCCCTCCCCCCCCACGGCGCGCAGGTCCGAGGCCTCGGCGCGGCGAGACTCCGTGGCCTCGGGGCTCGGCCGCGCGGGGCCCGAGGGCGCCCGTGCGAAGCACGCGGCCGCCATCGACCTGATCTGCAGGGACCCCAGCAGGCGCGGCCGCCTCCCTCCTCGGTACTTCTCCTCCTCCTCCTCCTCGCCTCCTCCCCATCCTGCCCTTCCTCCCCCCCCCCCCTTCCCCCCCCTCTCCCCCTCGCCTCCTCACTTCCTCCTCGCCTCCTCACTTCCTCTCCCCCCCTTCTCCCCCTCCTGCCCTTCCTCGTCCTCGCCTCCCCCCTCCTCTCCTCCACGCCACCCTCCTCCTCCCTCCTCGGTGCTCGCTGTTGTGCACCCTCGAGGGGCCCTTTCCCCCGCCCCCTGTGTATGGCAGTCTTCTCTCGCACTCCGGCGTGGGTTCGGCGCGGACCCTACGCGAGATCGGCGTGGGTGCGACACGGAGTCGACACGAATTCGGCGTGTGCGACAAGGATTTGGTCACGAATTCGGCTCGGATCGCGGCGCGACGGGGCAGACACGGCCCCCGAAGATGCAGCACGATGCTCGAGGTTCCGAGTTTCGGGGGTCGAGGTTCGCTTTCTGGAGGCGTCTGATCGTCCTGAGTCGCCCTGGTGGCTACGGC